CAGTAGGAAATATCGCGTCTTTTGAATCTTGCGCATAGGGCAATCACGAAAAGATACGGAAAATCTTACATCTACTACTAGTCCATGTCTCTCCACCACTGCTGCTGCATCTTCTTGACACACACCATCCTCTTCCAACAAAGCACCGATGAGCATCTTTGATTGCATTCTTGCAAAGAAGATACACGCTGATGCCTTCTAAGCAGCTCCGAAACCTAGAGTAATACAACTTACAGTAAAGCTAGCAGTAATCCATACACCTATATTCAGCTGTGTATATCTCAGATCCTCGTAGGATAGCAGCAAAAAAAAAATGGACGATTTGGTGTGCCATCCCAAATTGGTTTTGAATCGAGTACCAAACAAATCCACACAAACACGGGAATCTCAGGCATTGCCGGTACCTCACGACTTTGTACCCATCACTGAAATGATCCCGTGCTCAAACCTCCTCCTTCCGTTCCTCGAGAGAAGACTCGACATCACACTCTTCTTCCGTATCGCGCTCCTGGGGCAGAATAAGATTCATTATTACAGCGACAATTCCTGCTGCAAGGACTAAAATGGAGATAAGCCTTCGCGAATTGTTGATCAAGTAGTCGATGCACATACAAGGAGTACTTAAGACAATAGTGATAGAGTTGAAGAGACCTTGCAAGCCACTACCAGGATTATTAACACCGTTGAAGAGTTCAGTGAATATTCTTGGAACAAGTAGATCCCCAATGCCGAATGTTAGAGCGGCGGCGAGTACAAATCTATCTCTTCGTGTAAAGTCCATCAACGATAGGACTCTGATACCAGATACCTTGAAAAAAAGTCTACCGTTGCATATCAACCTTCACCTCAACGAATATCAGGCTTACCATAACAGAAGCAAAGAGAAACGTTGTGACACCGCCAATAACCGGGTTTGGGACTGGACGAGGAAGATCATTAGCCATGGCTAATCAACTGCTAGCTGGGCAGATCACTCACTAGCAAGGAAAACACCCGATATTTTTCCAATGACACCAAAAAGGATGAGGAAGACACAACACCATCTTCCCGCAGATCGATTGGCGCAGCGAGTCATGGCAATTACACCGTTATTCTAGATCTAGTATCAGTGTCATTCCGACAGAAAATTTCATCGCTCACTTGGGCAAATATTGATAATGGAGTGACCGTGAATAGAGCTGAAATCAGTCCTCCCAATCCGTCGCTCTGTGCAGATCCAATACGAGTCAATGAGATCAAAATAGGAAAGCAAATTCTCCAAGGCTTACCAGAACACCTCCTTGCACCCGGGAATCAAATTCGATCCCACGAACATCCACACGAGAACACTCTGCAGAGGCAGTGATGTCGCCAATGGCCTCCATAGCAAGAGAGGCTACAGGAAGAAAACACCATCAGACGGTTGGAAGTTGAGAGGTTGTTGATCAATAATCTACCATAAACAGCGAGCACTGAAGGTGCCGATCAGATCAAGGACAAGCGATGAGAGAATAGTGTCAACCTACTTGGAAGGATAGCGGGTGGATATACACCAATCTTGAAAGTGTGGACCCTTTGAACGGTATCAGAGTGGCGGAAAGACTACAACGGAGAACACGTACCATAAGAAAGTGATCGATGGAGCAGTTGAGATGCTGGACCCATCAATATAGCCAGTCGCACCAGCGACAATACTTCCAACAGCCAAACCAACAATAATACTGATATTTTTGAGAAACGGGGAACCGAACATCTCGGTTATCACGATGCTAATGAAAGATAAGAACCCGAGACCGATAAATTCAGGAGAGCCCCATGGTAAAGGCCTTGGTGCGAGAGTGGTCGGACACAGCGCGAAGATACCGGTTGGGGCCGTCTGACAGTTGTTCGAACCTCCACCCCAGTTAGGAACACCAGAGCTACCGATGAGAGATGCTCCAATCAAGAGTACAACAGTCCCTATAAGAGAGAAGCTAACAATTTGAGAGGGTTCCAAGTACAAAGTCAAATTCGAACATACCAGTGATCAGCGGGGGAAACGTTCGTTTGAGAACACGAGGAGGGATGAAAGCAAGGAACATCTCAAGAAATGAGCAGATAAGAGATGTACCTAAGATTCAATCATGAGCACTTGAGCTCGGAAATAGTATATTGGGCCAGAACGAACCAAGGACCTTGCCATAGGCGTCTGGGCATGCATTACGAACCACGGTACCATCGGATCCTACAATAGAGGTACATGTTCCATCTTGATACATGGCGTCGAAGATCTGCAGGTAATGAGTCCAGCGACTAGGAATTTATGGTGGTCACATACAGCATTCGCGGTGGATAGCGTTGCAAAGCTTGTACCGACGACTGTTTCCAAACACATATGTTGCCGACGAGAGATTTACATCAACAGGCACTTACCGCTTATCAACCCCGTTCCCAAGTAGTACCCGCGAAATAAGGGGATCCTTGATACCTGAACAAGACTGAGAATACCTGCATCATCTGTCAGTACTTTATTCTGTATCTTGGTTTTGTTAGACGCACCACATCCAATCAAAGAAGCTGAGATCATGTACGCTGAGGTAGCACTGTCTAGGTTCAACGTACTCGCAAAGATGATTGGTGGCGTGATCAAGCCTATATTCGACAAGTACCTTGAATTCTGAGCTCGCATTCAAGTCAATTGAACACATACCAGCAAGCATGGCCAGAGCATGCTGAAGCCCGCTTGATATAGCCAGAGCCAGCGGAAGATCAGCATCTAAGCTGTAAAACGGTGGCAAATTTCTTGTAGCGTTTGAGCCGAAAGGTAAGGAAGGTATACAGAGCCAAGCATAGTCGTAGTCTCCGAACCACCCGTCCTTCGTCGTAGCTTTGTGCTTTGCGGATAGGATGCGTTCCTTAAGCGATAGTCGGCCTGTAGATTTGGATGTAGATTGGCCTTCGAGAGCGGTTGGATGAGGAGGGTCGATACCCTCAGGCTGGTTCTTCCGAAGCGAAGGAGAAGATAATGACATGGTCAGCGACAAATCCTTGCAATTAGAAAAATTAACATCAGAACCACAAGTACTAGTGACGTTAGATTTGGTAAACTCACAAAGCAACCATATGGCCATCAGCACTAAGTGACATAGAATAGAAAGTCCAAATTCAATGGTTATCGCAGGCGTGGTGGGATCTTGAGCTTTGGTCGTCGTTCCTGCGTTCCGGAGAAAGGCCATCCTTGTAAGGAGCTGGGTGTATCCAGAATGATAATATACCCATTTGTGAAAGGACTGAAGGAGTCGAACACCAACAAATTGTCTGTGTGCTTTCCAAACATGTCCAAAACCGCTTTGATTTCGGCGTCGATTGCAAAGCCGAAGATACGTCTTAGGCGGACGTCAATCTTGAGCTCGTCCCTTTCGAAAGGGGAGAAGTTTTAGTCCGATATCTTGCAAGCCTCGAGCAGTTGCCATTCGGAGACACAGTTACCCTCAAAACTCCGGTTTCGCTTCCAAATGGCCTCCGGACTTTGTATCTGATAAATGTGCGCCAAACAGCAGCGACTCAATCCACAAAGTACATACTAGTTCTTCCACGTAAGGTTGTCGATCTCCATAGTATCACCCGTCGGTATGTCCCAAAACGGAGACATTCGAGCCGTCACAATGGGTTCTACCTCAGCTTTGATATAGTTTGAGATTCATTGACTGTGGGGTCAATTAATCAACCTTAAACACTACTCAACCTGCTGATGCGATGGATATGTATAACTTCGGCAATATACAGTGCGCAGGCACTTGCTCAGCAACTCTCGAACGTTAGCGTTAGCAAGAAGAGCCTCAACAATGACAAAAGATACCCGCGCGGATTGTATATAGAACATAGTGCGGTAAATACAAGGATGTACAGCCTGCAGGTGCAGTGATTGGCTGAAAATCGTATTCTTGTACCTGCACAAGCGCGTGAATAACTGGGATGAAAAGCCTGAGGCAGGGAATAAGCGCAGGGAAAATCTCGTACAACGATTCAATCCGATGTCGACCATCCCAATCGACGTAGATCGCGTCTACACTCCTCTGTCTCCTTCTCGACACGAATATAATCTTCCACAATCTGCGCAAACCCTTTCCGAGGTGAACGATCCGGACTTCCATCGACCAGCCTCATCAAACATGTGTATCCCTCGATTTGACTGTCCAGCACTCGTTCTTCTTTTATCGAATCCTCAGCCTCGTCCTTGAGCTTGTCGTAAGCAGTTGAAAGCGCGTTAATCATGGTCGCGTTCGGGTGAGTATCCGAGGAAAATGCGTATAGCTTTTGTTGTAATTGAGCTCTCAACAGAGAGAGCTTGACGAGAGAAGCTTCGATGGCAGCAGCGGATAAGGCGTTGGTTGCTTTGTGTTTTTCATTGAGAGAGGGAGAGATAGTGGTTATGGAACCGAGAAGTTCTGTGTTGAGCGTAACGTGTAACTAAATTGTGATAAGCGAAAGAACGCGTTGGACTTGATGTGATGAACGTGTACTTTGTTGATACAGGTGATCACATCGATCGCAGAGGACCAGGAAGAAGAGAGTTCTGATTCTAGCGACGCGATATCTTCCAGTTTCGCATGTGCTCGATCCAGCGGGTTGGTGTCCACGTCGCCTATAGCAAGAATGAACTTATGACATTGTGGTATCAAAAGTATAGATAGCATACCTCCTAGAGATTCCGATATAGACGACAGTCTTGATTCTATTTCTTCTGACAGTCGCGTTTCTAACACGGGATCGTTCAAAAGCTTCAAAGAAGCTCAGAAATTTGTATAAGGATATCCAAGAAAAGGCAAGTACCTCGTGAGGGAGATCTGAAGAGTCGATTGCGAGCTGGAGACGGGTCAAAAACCGCGCGAGTTCCTAAGTTCGATATTGTTATCAGAAAGGTCGTTAATTAGGTGATGGATAAGTCTACAAGGTCCTCAAAGGAGATTTCAGCCAAGACGTCGTTCAGAATCTTTAAACGCAGTTTGGTAGACGGCAAAAGATGAGAAGTCATGGCTGTGGCATTAATGGGGTAGTGGTAACCTGGGTCGTTGCCATTGGTGACAATTCTCGACCCGCCGGGGGTTCGATTCCCTCTTAATGCAATAACACTACAATGATAGTCAGATTTTTGAATAATATTTTTTTTACACAATTGATTCCCGATTGTTGGTCTCTTTCAGACCTCCTAGAGACGTCCGCAAGAAGAGAAGGGGAGTCTTCAGGCCGAAGGTGGTAAAATCGTTGTTGGCTGCATCCACCGAAAAGGTACAGAGAAATAAGATGTGGATCAAGCTCAGCTCTGATGTCTATGGTTACCATAGTGTCTCTTTTAAAGGATGGTTCTAACACATCATTCAGCCAGTCTCCAATACAAGCACACAAACGACTACTATGATTCCGAAAACAACATGGGATCGTCTACCTGATTACTTTTCTTCCTTCCGTTGGACGTTCGGCATCATTGTGCTGGGGAAAGCGTTTGTAGTGAGCTTCATACACTTCTTCCCACTTTTGTGCATTTGGAACAAGGGTGCCAGGAATCGGGTTGCGACGGGAGCCTTGTGATGGTCGACTCGGTCACAACAAGACAGAACGGATGGCAATGCGAGTCCAGGCCATCATCGTCCACTAAAATGTGAAGAAGGGTATCTTCATACAATTCTAATTCATTATCCCAGTCGACATGGTCACGGGTCAACGGGAAGTCGACATAGCGCTCTTGGTTCAGGAACGCTATTACTAGCTGTTCCATGGACTGCTTGATCTCTCCATCATGTGGATGGGTTGATGGGACTCCCAAAGGTGGTACAAATGTGATTTGGGGAGGCTCGTATGATGATGGGAGGTGTGGTGGTGGGAGGTGTGGCGATAGGGAGCTGCCAGATTAAACAAGACAATATGAAGCTAAACTAAGTATCTACTCCAGTTCCAATTCTAGATGCCACTCACCTGTTGATGATCTACTGGATATGCAGCAGAGAACAGCGTGATACATAAACTAACAAGAGATACGGCAACTGCCGTAGAACGCATAGTGATTGTCGAGTCGAGGACAGTGTGACGAGGCAAGGGTAGTAAAGAGGCTCGAGAACGTTAGATGATGATATACTTTGACCAGCAAAGGGGATGATTGGAAAGCTCCAACGTTCAATATGTATACATTTTCTTGAGATGCTTAATCAAATATACCGCGGTATCCTCCGAGAATCCGTCGGCTGAATGTCTATTTCACATTCTTAGTAAATTTTCCGTGTTCTTCCCCTTTCTTCCCTTACCTCCAAGCTTCGATAAAGCAAACAGCACTGATAATAAATCCCATCATGCTACCTGAGTCAGTACTGGTTGAGCAGTCTAGACGAAACATTAACGATAAGGGTTTACCGCATTTGTAATCGTATCTGGATGCAGTGCGCATCTTTCTCATACGCTCGTCTCATCCCCTTTTGTGTTGGTTCCATCCATGTCTTTTCCATGGTCAATGTCGTCCGTCTTTGAGATCTAGAGTGTTTTCTTGAACAATATCCAGATTTATGTCAATTATTCCATAATGAAAGAGTATAGCTTATTGGACGTGAATTTGCTGGATTGAAGATAACCTCGCGTGTGGATATAGGCACCGCGGCCAGTTCAGCTCTGTCTCCTGTCGTCAAACCAGACATGCTACAGCATCAGATGCCCAGCCTGCATGAAGACCAGCCATGGCGCGAAGAGCATGTGGTGGTTGGTATTACATCGGGCTGTATTTGTGCAAGCATAATTCTCCTAGAATGTAGCTGGATCCAGCTCCCGTTTACAGCTACTAAGGTTTATTGATTATTCATCATGCACTGAGTCACCTACCTAATCTTTACCCTCCAGACAAAATACTGCGGTGTCTCTGTAAAACGGCCAGGAAAGGCACCGTTTCAGTTGGCCCCTTTGTCGGTGAGACTCAGGAGTTGGTTGAAGACCTGGATAAGGGTCACAGATTTCAAGCCTCCGTTTCTGGTCAGTGGCAATTCTTCAATCTTTCGGCTGTTGTATACTTCATAACAAGCAGTGAAAATATTGCACTATCACCTATCCCAGGTTGATTTTTTGGTTCAAAATATCACCCGCTTCATTTTATTGGTTCCGTGCAAATCAACGAACTTCCCAGACCTTCCCCTGTCGATAACCCCTGACGAAGGTCAGTTACGAAAAGGTATCAGACGTCGTATAAATATTCGACCAAGTACTGGAATTTAGAGTAGCACAATGTCTTCCGCAATCTTGCCTTCTGGTTCACTGCCTATCGAACTCATCGAAGAAATTATCATCTCCTTCTGGTCCCAGCCCCAGTCCACACATCATCGTGCGATGTTCATAAAATCTTCTCTGGCAGTCAGCCATATGTGGGCTACCATTTTCACGAACGTCTTCTTCCGGGATGTTCATATTCCCAGCGGTCAATTCGCACTCAAGTTTTTGGAGATTTTACGCAACCAACCTTCTGTTTTCGATTCCTTTACCGACAACAGAACACTTCTCAATCGACGTTGTCGTTCGTTGACTTTTCAGCGAGATACTGACGACGTGATCTTGAAGTCAATTGCCCCGGAGTCTTCCCGCTCCTCTTCCATACTCGTCCAGGGGCTGTTTAACAAGACTTCGAAAGCGGAAAACCCCATGAGCCTCGCCATATTTAGCGTTCTCCAATTCCTTTACTATTCCTCTAGTCTCCCCAACCTCCGGCGCATATCCATATTGTACAATAACTCAACTTTGAGCGATCTGTTCACGCGCAACAAATTTATAGGGTTCCCAACCCAGGTCAAGGAGCTTGAAATTCGGTTCACTTATAATGTGAGGACACCGAAGCGGGTGTTGGAGCAGATTAAGCAGGATGAGTCTGCAATATCATTGGTTCCCGGCAGCCTAGTCAATGTCAAGGTGCTGAGGGCAACGGGATTATCGAAGGCAGCTGAGAGGGAATTGATGGAGGCGTGTTACAACCGGGAGGAGGTGGAGATGGACGAAGGGACTGAGATTTGGGGAAAACATCTGAGCGCAAAGCAAAGATAGATTCATTTCAACTGGCTAAGTTACGCATGTTCGTATTCCAATTGTTATTTCTTATTTATGTGCTTTCCTCCTTGCATACCGTCTATGGTTTTGTCATTTAATCCATCATTCACCGACAATAATAACACATTCATCACATAAACTAATTTCTACTACATTACCCAGACACTTATTTTCGTTTCTCTTTTTTATCTAGTACACTCTCAATTATCATTAATTTGCTCGCGCTTCATCTAAATTGAGTATACCTTGTGAAGAAACGGATGTCTTCAATGAATGATTCTCCTCGTATAGCTGTTAAAACCATAAACGTGATACAAACATCATGAACGTGCTGTGTTATACCTTCGTTGGTGGTGTGCACCCCACTGTACACAGCGTTTCGATCACCACGATGGGAGTAGCGGAATATGTTCTCTGTGAGATTCCAGCAAAAGCGCGTATCTGTAGGAACTAGAATCTCAACTCAAATTTTCCAATTTCAGAAACACACCAGTATTGCCTAAACAAATTCTGAATGAATTCACAGTACACTGAACAGATAACATACCTAATCCCAAAGATGGGGTGAGGACGACATTGGCCGCTTCATACCTCGACGAGCTTTGCAAGGTCGCTTTGATTGTACCAGATAGCACATCGTACATGTGGTTGTTTGCAATTGGTGTTAATGGGGAGGGCTCCAAGGCAGAATAAAACGCCTCCGATAGAACTATCTTCCCAATTTCAGAACCGTGGCGGACATCCACTCCAAAGCCGTGGATTGATAGATTGTGCTGAGCACCAAAAAAGAGCACAAGGTCCGTGATGTGATTCTTGATTTCTGAGGTAGAGCTACAGAATATCAGAACTTCACGAGCTAAAAACATGTGTATATTTGAACCTATACTCCGCTATTCTGTGATTGACCAAAGCTTCAGCTCGTTCGGGTAGTGCATTGACTTTAACACCTCCAGAAATCAAGTCTACTGCTTGCGTCGTCCTGGATAACACACTGAAGAAGGGGACTGCTTCGAATAAGACATCACCGAATTTTTTTAATGCGATTTCGTCGTGGGGATTCATCGCACGCCTAGCCAAGGTCTTCATAACAGGCGGGAATTTCCCTTCGGGGGCATGTGCTACCGCGCATTGGGCAGCGGCGAATGCAGTACCATTACGCGTTAGACGGGGAAGATGGGGATTAGATTCGAGGGAAACGATGAGAAGGGATAAAAGGCCTATGCTCTACGCGTGAAAAAAAATTGCAGGTGAGAGGTAGTTCGTAGAATCTAGCTGGGAATTGATGGATACCGACTGTGTGATCAGGCAGCACGCTTGAATGTCCTCCTGGAGTTGAAACTTTGATGCTTGCATCGAAATACCCCTTTTCTGATACCCCAGGAAGTGCGAATATCGCTCCCTGCTTGACATTTTCGGTGTATCCTTCTAATGTCAAAGAAGCAATCGATCCTCGAGGTACATGTGTGCAGACTAAAGCTCACCTCCTTCATCTAGTATCATTGCAAATGCATTCATACCGTATCTTCCTTCAAGATAGACCGCCAGTTGTCCGGCACCCTATTAGGTTCAATTGTTAGTAATAGGCTATATTAGCGGTACCGAGAACTGGTGTGAGACCTCAGTTCCTGAAGCTTCTTCGTCGAAACCAAAGGCAAGGACTATGGTTCGTTGAGGGTTGAAGCCAGCGCCTAACAATGAATTGACGGTGATTCTATAGTAATATGTTAGCGACACAATCACGGTGTGGTCTAAAATATTAGGGTGCTTGCAGCTGAGCGATAAGGTCCGCCTTATTATCTACACTGCCTCTACCCCAAATCCATGTTCCTGTGAAGGGAGCGATAAATCACATCTTCTCGTTGACAGGTTGTAGTCAAGGCGCACCGTCGTAATGTCCGGAGTATGGCCGATGGATCCATCGATCTTCGTTTGACCAATCCACTGGTACGACATCTATATAGATATTAATTTGAAGAAAAGCTGTGGAAATTCATGCTTACTGCATACCTTGGTGTGCTGTTAGTAGCAAGGGCTTCAATGAGTCGTTAGAGCCCTG